TGTGTTTGTCCCGGAAGTAGTGGATGCTGTGACTTCCCGACATCCAGATGCTACAGTGATCATGGAATGTAGAGGCAGGGCTTATTTGCGGGGTTCAGCTCCTACGCTCCATCTGCTATCTCAACCCACAGGCACCACACTCACTGCTTCCATGGGATGCGGCTCCCAGCCAATAAGAGCAGAATAATCAGGACATGGGGTGGAACATTGGCAGCATGTGCCACTACAAAATTAGAGATATAAGCTACGTCTAGACTGGCATGATTTTCCACAAATTCTTTTAACGGAAAAGCTTTTCCGTTAAAAGAATTTGTGGAAAATCATGCCAGTCTAGACGTAGCTTATATCTCTAATTTTGTAGTGGCACATGCTGCCAATGTTCCACCCCATGTCCTGATTATTCTGCTCTTATTGGCTGGGAGCCGCATCCCATGGAAGCAGTGAGTGTGGTGCCTGTGGGTTGAGATAGCAGATGGAGCGTAGGAGCTGAACCCCGCAAATAAGCCCTGCCTCTACATTCCATGATCACTGTAGCATCTGGATGTCGGGAAGTCACAGCATCCACTACTTCCGGGACAAACACAGCCTTGGCCATAATAATGGACAGTAAGTTAAGAACAAATGACTAAGTCTTACTTAACCAGTTAAAGTTTATATTTAACTGGTTAACCAGGATGTGGGTTCAGGGCCGCTCCAGTGTGGCTGGGCGTGCCACGCCACAGCTGCTCCTGGGCGAGCCCACCAAGGATAGGGACTTCTCAGACAGGGCTGAGCCCACGGCGCTGTGGTTGGGGGCTGCTTGGGCCGGGCATAGCTAAGCCAAGCCTGCAGCCTTGCTAGCAGAGGGCTGCTCCAGTCAGGTTGGGCCTACCATTCCACACTGTGCTAGAGGCCAGTCTGCAGCAGCCCCAGCCTGCCCTTCCCAGCACTCAGGGGATATGTCTACACTGCAGGCTTCTTGCACAAGAGTTCTTGCGCAAAAGATCTTGCGCAGGAGCACGTTCCCACTGCCATGTGCTTTTTTGCAAGAGCGTCTATGGCAGTGTGGACGCTCACTTGCACAAGAAAGCTCTGATGGCAATTTTAGCCATAGGGGTTTCTTGCGCAAGAAACCCCTGTTGCCCGTCCCCACTGCCTTCTTGCGCAAGAGCTCTGCATGGGAAGAGGAATAACTCTTGCAAAAGAAGCCCTCTGTTCTGACGCTTTACTGTAAATTTACTTGCGCAAGACACGTGTGTAGTGTAGATGCTCCGCAAGTTTTTGCGCAATAATGGCCATTTACAGTTTTAATCAGGGCTATATAGTAAAAGTCATGGACAGGTCATGGGCCATGAATTTTTGTTTATTGCCCATAACCTGTCCATGACTTTTACTAAAAGTGACTAAAATGTAGCTTCAACTATGACTAACAAAAGATCATCTTGTAAAGAGACCTGACTGGATTCTGATTTTTAATTTTGAACTATAAGCAAAATAGATTTATAATCTTCTGGCAAGTAAATACAGGCAGTCCCCGAGTTACGCGGATCTGACTTACGTCGGATCCGCAGTTACGAACAGGGCCCTCCCTCTCCCTGGTCTCCAGCAGACCAGGGAGAGGAAGCAAAGCGGCGGAACACGCGGGCAGCGGACAGCCCAGACGCGTCTGAGCTGGCCGCGTGCTCCGCGGCTTTGCTCTGCTTTGCTCCCCGTCCCCCTGGTCTGC